CAAGTTCGAAGGGTTTGCATGTTGACTCAATTTGGAAAGGGAGGTGACAGGTGGGCGAGAAATCTGATTGCCAACGCGCGCGTGTTCGTCACCAATTGTGCTTGGGACAGACCCTGCGAGTGCGTTGTAACGGCTCACCCGAAAGCAGATGAAATGGCGCATCAGACAGCATGCGTGTCGCCAAGGTCTGACTGGAACCTGATGAAATCGCGCGTCAGACATCGCGTACGTTGCCATGCCCCGGGGTAGCTGCATGAAGACTGGCGTGCCGGAAGAAGAAAGTGAACTGGCCAGAAGGAGCGGACAATCAAGTGTGGAGCGTGGGCGTACAGCCAAATCCGCCAGGCGATGTTTAGAGGATTAGTGAGACTGACATATAAATATGAGCGTTTCGGTACTAATACAACTTTGGTCGGCTGAGAGTTCTTCTGTTTTCCTTCTTGTCGGGTTTGCCAAAGCGTCAAGCAGAGCAAGCGTAAGGGTGCAGTTTTACCAGCAGGCGTGAATCAACCGGTCGATTGCGGGTACAGCGTTAAAACATCCTCTCTTTATTCTTGTTATCTTTTCTTTTGGTGTTGTAATGATCGCACTGGTCATGTTGTCGGACTAGTCAAGCATCCGCTATTTTATCCGTTATAATTCAGTACTCATTTTTACCACGCATGTAGAATTGCACTTGATGTTTTGTTGCCCCTTCGAGACTCTAAATTTGATTTACTTCCGTTTATCCAAATTGCTGGGATTTAAAACCCCATTTTTACGAATTCGCGGTCAGAACCACTGAGGTGGGTGTGACGTCATTGACCAACATGATCAAGTTGCTGCATGTGTCATAGCGACAGTAACTCTCTACTGATTTTCATGATATTGCAGATGACAGTACGGTCTCTTCAGATCAGCAATGTCCCAAACGTGAGCCCCAATTAATATGTAAAGTTTCAATCAGTTTGGGTGGCTACGGGTTGTTAAGCATTAGTCGGAGGATTTAGAAGCAAAAATCAAACGCATCACTGCCGCCGACGAAAGTGAAGTGGCTTTCCCATGCTGTTTACGACGTGCGACAGCCATCTGAACTATTCGACAAATAGTAACTAATTAGTATTGTTAAGCTTCACACCATGATTACCTGAGTATATTTTTGTAGTGAAATAAATCGCAATTTTTGTTGGTTTTCAGTCAGCAGTGCATGGTCAGGAAGTTAAAACGTTCCGAATTACCGGTAGTATGGGTTGACGACTCAGGTGTTCATTTGTTTGCTCAGCCTAGTAATTTGGTTGCTGATATCTCGTCAGCAAACTTAATAATCTCCTCATTTCAGAGTTGAAGGTAGTTTGGATGCGAAAAATCGTACCCGATAAATCGAGGAAATGATACCATTAGTTACTTTGTTAGTCCATGCGCTTCATCCTGATTGATGCTCATCGAGGAACTCAAGAAGACTTGGTTGATTTTGACTAGCTGCAAGGATAAGGTTTCGACGCAGTCAATCGGTCTTTCTAATCATATGAAATACATCGATGAGCAGCTAATCAAAACGCCGTGCAATTTATTACATCGGTAGTCCATATAAGCATCAGCAAAGTAACCGATGGCATACATTCCTGGATTTGCCTAGTGCGATTATTCGCCATCAAGCCACAGTCAACTGTATTTATTATGTCACTTTGTTTGGTGACGAGAAATCTGTAACTAGCTTGCCAAGCTTCGCGAACAAATGAACTTATCAACCTGGAATGCTTATTCAACGGCAAACTTGTGCAACCCATGGTCTACTGTCCCAGATGGTGTAACATCTATGTTTTTAGTGAACTCCACAATTCATCTTCACGTCAATCACCGCAGAACCTCAAGGTCAAAACACAGGCATTCTTATTGATATTTATTTTAAAAGCTGTCGAATAAGTGAAAGCAGTTACAATGTAACCGGGACCGAGGCAGTAGATTTATGCACAGCACTTTGAAGCACGATAACAGCAGTATAAAGCATCCCAAAGGTGATCACATACCGGCAATATTGAGTGTTGGTACAGAGGTGTGCTATTAATGAGAGCAAGTGTTAGTTGAGGTTGACCCAACTTACATGTAAGCACTGCTAGTAGAAGTCTAACATGAACAAACGGAAAGGTGGGCTGCACTGCATGTCTTCTGCTTCTGTTGTCTAACTTGTCATCTACCCTTCAGACTCTGGACCGATTATAGTACCAGACCCATTAAGGATTTAATAAGAACGAACCTGCTTTCAAGCGGTCGAAATGATAGAAGAGTAAACCCTCATACACTGTGTTGGTGATGTACCCAAGTAAATATACTCCATATCTGAACAAATGGCCGTCACTTTTAAAGTAACACTTGTTATTAAGCAATCTGGGCAAGTACAAACACAGGTACTCCGCTATTACGCTCAGAAACAGAGCGCTCGAAATAACTTGGTTTATCAAGTTGTATTAAATATTGTTTTTCTGCAAATGATAGCGTGTCTTGCAAGTGCCTGAGTCTAATCAGTTCCCACAGGAAGAAGGATACTAGTTTCTCTACGTGTTTCGATGTCACTAGCCATTCATGAATTAGTTCTTCATGAAAGCAGATCTTCCCTCCTGAAAACTAAGAGATCAGTAAACATTGCTCTCCCATTAATGTTCGACTAATCGACAAGCACCTTCAGTTTGAAAGCGTGTTATGCACATTATGTTTGAAGGCGCCGAAAGCATGACGCGAACAGATGAATTAGCATGCTGTTAGTGAATTCAATAAACATTAATCAGTTTCAATTTAAAAGAGGTTATTTGAACTGTGTTATAACTTCAACTAACGTGTAGTTCAATTGCAGCGCACTTCCCTGCGCTAGGTGCTTCAGCGATATACAAAATATTCTGGCATACACCTCTGAATGAAAAGGTCCCAAACATGTTCCTTTTATTTCAATCAGTAAACAACTCACTAAGGTGCGTAACCAGTTGGGTAGGTTGGTAAACCAATATCGTTGTACTTTTAATATTGACTAGCTTGGCCAATACGCAAGCCAGGTGAGTACCGGTTTATTTCCACTTAGTAATCGCGTTACGTTTTGTTTACTGGAGTTTTCTGCAATTATGCTACGAACCATTTTCGCTTATCAACCTTGTACTAACGAGTTACTTGCGGTCGACATAGCAAACTACTTCAAACTTATTGCTTAACCGTATTAAAATATATCACAATCTAGAAATGATTGATAATGTCATATTTTGCAATGCTTCAACACTTGTTATACTTCGTAGCTCAATAAGACTATATACACATAACCAGCCCTCCTCTGAACTGCATTCTGCCGACTGATGAAATTCGCTTAATCTAAACCCCATTGCTCAGTTGTATCGGTTACAAGGTGAGAAGCAAATCCCCATCTACCACAGCGCCACCTCGCATTGACTCTCGCTCTAATCTAATATGCATAAATTGTAATGATCGATCGCAGGCGCTTGCATGTCGAACAACGCGAGCAACACCCGCGGTAACATCATTCGGGAGAGCAGAGATAGCAGTAGCAACAGCAACGGCACCACGCTAGTGTTATACGCGCGTTCCAGTGTCAGCTTCTTCGTGCTATTTTACCTTGTCACGAATCCGAGCCTGTGTATGTGCACACGCTAAGAACCAAGGGTTGTGTGGGGCGTGCAACACCGAAAAAGCGAGCGTGAGGACGAGGAAAAGATGTATTGGTTTGCCCAGAACAGGAACACTGAACAATTGGAAACGTGCCTAAACAATAGATGCGAATGTCAACTAGAGAACGTGGTAGCGCGGGATATGCTTTTGAGAAAATGAGTTGAAGTACAATCAACTATTGAGCGAAAAATTGCAGTAATGGTGATACTATCAGATTGATTACTACATTAGCTAGATGTTTCTTCTCAATAGACCTACCAGGTTTTGTCCACAATACGTGCCATGCTCGTGATTCATGCAAGTCTGAAAGATTTCGCGCTCTCTATGCGAAGTTGGTCTACCTTACACAAAGTAACTGTTTCAAAGTCTGAAGAAAAAAGGACCACACATCTGGGCTAAAATTTCTATGCATTATTAAGCATCAGCGTAATCGTAAACTCTGTACGTTTATGTCACGAAGAGCGGTCCTGTTTGGGCAGCAAGAAATAAGGGCTTGTATGCCAAACACTTGCCAACAAGCGTGGAGATTCATGTTACCACCTCAACTCGTTTCGCCAATAGCCGGAAATAATTGACCATGAAATCTAGCTTCTTGATTAAAATTCCAACAAACGCATTACTTTTTCTTAAGTATCAAAAATAGGGGCCAGTGGCAAGTTTGTGTGATGCACCGACCCAGCCCATGATTGACGCATAATAGTTCTCGCTGGTTCCGTCGTTAATGAAGCTGTTTGTGTGTGCAAAATGTAGAGACTAACAGCGAACCTCAGAGTCAATCTAGCAATGCATGTACAACCGTTTTATCCATTTCTCAAAATGTAAGCAATCAAGTAGATGTCTGGTAGCGCAATACGTGAGGAGACGTCCTTGCAAAAGTGCGTTCTGCCGTTTGCCATCGGCATGATAATGAGTAGTTTATCGTGGTATTGTTTGTTAACATCGTAATGAAAGAGTTCATGGAGCAATAACTGCAGGTACCCATCTTTAAATTTTTTACTCCTTAGTCTCACTAACCTTCGAACGAATTGCTGATGAACCATGGCTTCGAAGAATTACTCTTATATGAACTAAGGTTTATCATTTACCTTTAAAGCTTGACCCGCAGTTGGTGTAGTCTACAGTTTTGATACGCCGAATAAATCGCATGCCGAATATAGGCAAAAAAGTGTTTCTTGTTACCATGTTAATATGACATATAACCGCTTCATTTTTCCTCGTACTTGCTTTCATCTTCCTTCCCTCACCATTTAACCGTGCGTGCAGCCAAACTTCGTTCATAATTGTTGGTACACGTTAATGAGCATAGAGTTCTCTTTTTGGTAACCTTAATGAAACCTGAATTTTTATGGTTACAGGAGACGCAGAGTGCAGAAACGCAACACTCGCACCATACGGATGGTGCGGGAACTGTCGGATGTCTCCCCGAGCAGCTTGACGTTGCTAGAGGTCGCTCGAATCAGAGAGTTCATTCATGTACAAACTTGCAGTGGAGACAACAGAAGCGTCCAGACGGGCTGACCGAACAACTGAGAGAGGAGATCCATCACCAATTTTGCACTGCTGAACTTCCAGCTGAAACCGATAGTCTTGAACGACAAATACCCATCCTACAATCATCGAGCGAAGCGCCGACTGAACCTAAGGACAGATTTGGAAATCTGCGAGACGCTCTAGGTGAGGGTAAATAGACTGTATTAGCGGTGATTCTATTAAAATACCACCTACCCTGTCTGTGGTTTCTGCTTATTTTCGAATGTATATGTCAAGAAGACTGAGTTGACGGGGTTATTATTCAGTTCTATGCATGATATGTAAATGTATTTGCCTTCTTAACGTATCAATCAGTCACACTGGGATGTACTACGGTGCAAGTGTGGCATACTATACAAACCCCTAAAGAACCCTCGCATTCATTCGCATGTTTGTAAATGGAATGGTTGAAGTGTGAATATTTTGCAAATTACAGCGCTTCTGATTCATTTGATAATCTCTCTGTGAGTGGATACTCAAGGTGCGATACATTTACTAGTAGTTTTAAGGGTGCCAGGTACCAACATCTCTAAACTTGTTTTATGTGACACAGCCAACTTATAAGCTGGTTGATGTTTCGTGCTCAAGCCATTCATACATGTTTGCAATATTTCGCCAGCAAGTATTCCTTTAGCCTCCTTTTATTTAGTATCCTGTAACCAGTCGCCACAGTGCAAAGAATCGAAGCAAGTCGACGTGGCCTCGGGGTGTGCTGTTGACGAAATCGGAGTAGCCGCAAACCAGTTAGTTGTTCATGGATCCACTACTGCTACACAGTCAGGAAACAAACACAGCAACCTAGATCAACCGGAATTGCTTCCCTACGTTCCCGCCACGCTCAAACACGCATCAAATCCATTTGTGAGAGCTTGGCTGTACAAACATAGTGGAGTAGTCCCACAGCCCACTGACTCAAAGGTAAGCACCTGTCCTCCATTCCTGAAAAGTTATCCCATATTTTTGATCGCAGTTCATCCTAATATTCTGGATTTGGCCGTATGCATTATACTGATGATAATCCACCATCCTTCATGGATACGGTTCTGTAATTGGTACGCTTGTTTGTTAAACCTTGTGCCTATATAGTACTTTGCAGCACCATTAACCTACTCTTTCGCATCGGTAAAAACAGCAAAATACTCGCTCCTTCCCAATAAGTGCATTATAAGCCACAGTGCACAAAAAAATGGTCAGTTTTAATAATGGCTCGTTATCGCAATGCGCACTCAGATTGCCACTACACACCCGGAAACTTACTACGCGGCTGTCGGTGTCCCATAGTGTTGAGAAAGCCGTCCATCGCACCTCTGGATGTGTGTGCCCGCTTGATGGAGTGGATGTATGGCAAATCCTCTTTGTATTTATTTCATGCCCGCTACACTACTCTTTACAAATAAGTAATCTGTTAAGCCAACAACCATACAGTCGGACAATGAGAACTCATCGATCGGAAACCGTGATCCTGGCGTCCTACCCTGCCCACTGCACATTAGGGTCGATTACGCTTGTGAAGGTTGGATCTCGTTGGAACGTAGTTTATTGTTTATAATGGCTGCTGCCAACAACCGTGGCCTAACGGTCGTCATCAAGGCGTCAAGTGAAGAGTTGTTGGTTCAAGCTGTTCACCGGGTAGATGAAATGTTCGCTGCTAACTAGCCCTGAAAATACGAAGTTGCAACCCAGGGCTGTGGAAAAAGCGAAGAAGTAACAAACGAACGACTAACAAAAAGTGAAACCACCTGACGCACCCGAACTTTTATGACCTACAGCTGCTCAGAGACAGAAGGAGACACTGCTGTAGGTTACGACTTGTTACGGTGAAAGCCACCATTCAGAAACCATCTTCTGCTCATTTTCTGCAGCATGTCGCAACGAGTGTACCACAACACTCAGCATCATCATCATTATACACGTTATCTAGAGGTGTAAAACACCTCATCTACTGTGCCGCAATACATAAAAGAAAAAAGAAAATAAATATAACAGTTGCATGCCAGCAGAGCTACCCGTAACGAATAGGCATCGTTCCGGAAATCTGACAGCCGGCTATTAGCAACAAGAAAAATTATGATGCAAAATTATATTACGCTACGAAATAAGATGGCTGTTGGAGGTGGACAACAACTCAGCAACAATCAGTCGGTTGTGAAGAACATAGACTTGTGGATTATACGGATACAGAGGGTGGTGCAACGATCAAATACTTTCACGAGTTTTTCAGTACCCATGACATTCCGGTCCTGAGGACTATAGGACAGAATAAAGCATGTGATTGGAAAGACTAACGACTACAGTATGCTTCTCTGTACATGAAATTTAGAGAAACCAACGAAATTCCAATAAAGGTCATTACAAAGCCTGTCGTAATGAAGTCAGCCTGGTTGTTACTGATCCCACACCTGATACGATTGAACTGCCTACCTTAAATTATAATGTGTGACAAGCAGACAGCATTAATAATGTATATGCTTGGGTTTCTGATGGGCAAGAAGGTGTGAATCAAGCTTTGTCTGAGCTGCGCACATTTCGTTTGGCAGCTCCACTCGAGAAGTTCTTTTAAAGTCGTCATTTTGTGGGGCATACTTAGCATCTTTAGTCCCAACATGACGACCGTCATGACAATATCCGCTTTGATTTGTCACACACAGCCCTGCACCATTCCGTACATTTCAGAAGTCATCGCATCCCCGCCTTTCTACTGAATACAAAACACTGGTGGGACAATCATCCCAGGCTACTGCGACCGTTATGTCGACGGATTTCATGAATCGTGTTCAGAACTCCGTGCAACCTGAGTAAGTAGAATTGCATCTTTGGGTGACTTCTAAAAGAGTTGTTTTATTTGTAAATTATCAACTGGATTGTCGGCGTTTGCTACAATGGCACTAATTTACTCAATTTATAGTGATTATTATAGCAAAAAACGTGACTAATTCGACTTCATATCTACGAATTCAAACTGGTCCAGTCAGCGAAGCAATTTATGTACCCAGAACTACCGAATATTTCACAGCAACACCAACAAGTACTGCACTGTAAAAATAAGGCTGTTTAAATGAATTTCAACCGGAACCTAGGGAAAGCTACAGTAATATAATACTAAGGTTACTTAAATCTTGGATGATTAAGTTCTGGTCCAAGAATACTGGTGCTGGATGTGGGATGACCAAACAGTGGAAAAGCTCCGTATGGATATAAATGGGCCCGTACGTAACCTTTTAATGTATCTGCTACACAATCAAACATAGCACCGAAGAGGAGGCAACTTGCATCTGTACTTAGATTTGAAGTAAACTTTCTGGAAGCACTAGTTTGCGTAGTTAACAAAGTCTGCAACGGTCGGTTTTGGAATGCCGTTGCATTGATTCACTTGCTTTTGTGACCTGTTTAGGGCATAGAATTACATACGTAGTATAGCATGAAATATCACAGAAGCATTATGTCAGAGGCGAGGCAAGGGGTGGCGAGCCGCCCCGGGTGGCATTTGACAGGGACGGTATTTTTAATACCGCTGATTGTGCGATACCAAAAATAAAGGACAACATTTTCAGACAACCTAGGGTTTGAATATTTCAATGTTACCCCTTACGACCAACAACACCTTTGCGCGATGTGTCACACCTGTGCAAAGGAACTTCCCAGTGATCCCTCTACTTGTCCCCTTGTGGTCACATTCACCACACACTTCAGTTATCCAAACGATCACAACTTCCATCGAAAAGTATTATGCACTTTATCTTGATCTTGATTTTATCATCGGCCCGGGAGGTAAAATTAGTTGCTGCACCACTGCAGTAGATCAAGTAGGACGAAACGCAGACAATGACAACTCCCAGTTCCAGACAGTAGGGATAGGACAATATAGTTGAAAAGAAACTTTGAACCATTGCTCATTAAAAACATTGTGGTCACGTTAGGTGAACAAGATATATCGTGACTTTGCGTGTTACCTAAACGCTTCAATGAGGTACAGTGTTTTCTCTCTTCCTCTGTTAAGAATTACTGATGCTAACCAAAATTGTAGTGATAAAAATTCATCTTTGAGTTTTAGTACATTCAGCAAAAATCACGTGCTTTAGGCCACTATGTTCGATGCACCGGGAAGGCATATAGATTGTCTGATGATTTTATACTTCGATAATTGAAATACAAAACTACTTCACCTACATGTCAGAGTAATCTCATCTCTACAATTGCAAAATAACTGCTTCCCGAAAAGACCGGATTTGTAGTGAACGTTGATGAATTTCATCAACACGACGAGCAAATTGGACACCTCCTCTGAAGTAGTCCCTTATCAAGAAATTGATAGAAGTCTGAATTTCCAACATAAACTCATAGTCTACACAGTCCAATGCAAAAAGTATGCAAGAAAACAGAATCGCGTTTTTTCGGAAGGGTTTGAAAGCAAACATTTGACATAATTAGTGAGCAACGTTGCGCTTTCATCACAAAAGCTCCGTGAGACAAATTGAACCAGTGGATGAATGGCACCGCAGTTATAGCAAACTTGGAAAACATTTACGAAGATCGGAATACGGGCCGAAAGTTAATCACGTTGCAGGTCCAAATCTTACTTCAAATGGTGCACGTAAGAGTTCCAAGTGGCCCTTGTAAGCCTATTTAGGAATGAGTGTGGGGTTGATTTTCTGTTCCTTCTCCGCTGATGCTGCCTAGACTGATCGGGTTAAGACAGCACGCCACAAGTTCAAGAGCTCCGCTCCTTCCTTTTTGTTGACGCAGCTGTTCATCTTGCTAATCTCAATCGCCTCATCAGTCAGCGTTTGGGTGTCGATCTCAGCCAGCACCTCAACGAATGCTACGATATTCAAATCAACCCCATGACATATATCTATCGTGAGCGTCCCGACCGCCGAATCCCTTAGTAAAACCTTATATTCAGCCCTGTTCCTCGGCAGCGCTGCAATGTCGCATCCACGGCGTAATGAGGAGTGGATTGAGAGGGTAGGAATTCCTTACAAATTTGGAAATTTAGAGGTCATCCTGACCGTACTGAACACTCCGATTGGCACTGGTGCACTTGAAGAACACAAGTCCCGAAGATATAACAATTAATTGCATCTGCAAAGTTAGTTGCAAAGACTGTGCACATGAGTACATAGTCCGAACCGCACGACAGCTACGAATGAGGATAGCATGACACAAGTGGTAGAGCATGGACGCTGAGGAACGGGCTTGTATACCAGGCTGTACTAAGGGATTTGGCGGCAGTGTTGCTTGCGATGGATACATGTCATGGGATTGACTTGGATTTCGCAGCATACCTTGAAGTGGTGGTTGTGATCGAAATCCCAAAGGTTGACTGATGAAGCGATGGAGATTAGCAAGATGAACAGCTGCGTCAACAGAATAGACGTGGCGGTGCTTTTGTCCATGTGGCAGGCAATCTTAACCCGACAAGTCTAAAGAGCATCAGCGGATGGATCCGGGGCAGAAAATGAACACCAAAGCAACCCCACACCCATTCCTGACAGGGCTTACGTGCGTGATTTTGTAACGCGCATCACTTGAGACTATTCTATGCACCATTTGAAGTGACAGTGATCTGTACCGAGATTCACCTACTCATTATCCGTATTGGAATGGTTAGGTTGTATACAGAGCAATCAAGGTGAAAGGACGGCGGTCAATATTCATCTGTTGCTTGCCGGCATTCCGTTTATGGGAACGTGGCCACCAGTCTAACCAAAACAACTTGAGACGCGATGAACTCCATGTGTTTATATAGAATGGGCTTCAGTCGTCTAAATGTCGAAGTCTCTGCAAACTTAAGTACGCGGTAGCACTCTGTCGGCTGGTTAACCCAAACAATTCGCTTGACCAGCACCAGATGAATTTTGACCACCATATTTTTACCAATGAAGTTGTTTGTCTCTGAATGCAACCTAGCCATTCCACTAACACTATGTAAATGGCTGATGAGAAGAAATGAACTAATAGAATGCAGATTAACCTTTGAATTTGGAATTTGTGATTGCAACGCCATGTATTAGATTAACCTTCCACCTACATCTCAGTCATCGCGAGGATCTTTCCAGTTTGCTGCAAGTGTTGTACCAACTGTCCACTGGTTTAATCAGGCTGATGAAGCATTTGTGTCAAAAGTGAAACTTTGCCCGCAAACCCAATGGGTCGTTTTCAAAGCCTTCTGGAATCATGAGTTCTCGATCGATGAAGAGCAATTTTCAAAACTTAGTACTGCATTGGTTTGACTCTACTATCTAGACCTCAGTATACGAGGTAAACCCCGGCGTATGGGGTAGAGCTTGAACTGTAATAGGAAAATTAAGGATGTTCAATTATAGGCATTTGTCGCGTTCAAATACTTTGCTTTGTTTTTGCCCTCGAGTCGCTTATCCTACTCACACTTCTATTTAGCGCTCGTTGGCCCAGCCATGGGAGCTTGCATTTGATTGATTGCAATGCGAACCTCTATCGATTTGATTGTAACGCGTGTATGTGCAGACAGTTTGTTCCACACATACGTTCCGGTGCTGCACTGGTCCGCTGCTTTTTCGGGATGCAACGAATTGGCGGTGCGTGTTACCGATGTCTTTGCATGCTAATACTCCTGTACCGTTCTGGACGGACTCTGCGGTTACTCCAAGTGCAGAATGCTTGGAAGACTGGAAAATTAGTTTTTCAGATTATATTTCTGTGCTACCAGCTCTCAATACATCCGTGACGCTGAAAACGGAGGGTACTTTAAAGCGTTTACGCTTACACCTCGGCTCAGAGGGTCGACACATATTTGATGCTCCAAACCTGCGGGAGCGACCCATGTTGACAAAGGTCTTATAGGCCCTCCATAAACATTGGGATGTTCGAGTGAACACTTATACTTTTCAGTACAATTTTTCGCAGTTGAAACAAGCATCTGGTGAATCAGTGGATGTATTTATTTTCCGCCCTGTCTGTTCTATTCGAAAGTCTGACTATAATAGTATTCCCAAGAAAACTTGGAAGAAACTATGCTAATACAACAATTGAGTTCTGGTCTCACAGATTCTCGAATCAGAGAGTCTCTTAATGGAGAACGCCGAAAAGCTCATGTGGGACAGGGCCTGTGACGTGGCTCGTGCGAAGGTTGCAGTCACGGAAAAAACAAAATTTTCCTCTCTAACACAGGAACTACTGAAATTGACCGTTTGGATCCTACACGCTCTCTAACGCCATCCTCAGTTTTGAAATAGGTATTACCGTTGTGGAAATGCTGAACATCGTGCAAATGATAAGTCATGTCCTGCAAAGAGTGAAATCTGCCGGAATTGCGGTAAGACCGGTCATTTTGCTCGAGTTTGTCGTTCCCGCGTCATTTCTTTAGTTGGTTCTGCGAATCACTCCAGATCTTCTCCGGTCACCACTGAACAATCTATATAAGTTTTTAATGAATGCGAACATCCACTTTCGTCTCCAGCTCAAAAACCCAAACTGCCTTCGCCAGATATTCGTCGTGTGTTTTTTGAACTTAGAAATAAAGCCTTTTGTCTAGACATGGAACTAGATTCTGCGTCACCAATCACAGTTGTGCTATATCGTTTTTACAAACAGCATTTTGGTCAGCTAACTGTACATCCTTCCGCTTACACTTTCAGTAGCTACTCCAATGGTGATGTACACATACTCGGTTTTGTTACGGTCTCAATGTTTCTTATACACAGCAGCATGAGTATAGTTGAAGTTTACGTCTCTAAAACTGATAGTAAGCCTCTATTGGGACGTAATGCCATGGTCTTATTGAACGTATCGCCATGCGTCAGCCGGATGACCATTGGTAGTGTCAACTTTCATTCGTTACGTTCCAGTTACCCAAATCTCTTTCTTCCGGATACTGTTAGAGTCTCAAAAGCAATGCACCGCATTCGGTTGAGCGTGGATTACAAAGCATTTAGTATTTCAAAACCTAGGCCTATACCTCTGGTCGAGCGAGTGGTTTTGTCGGAAACTTTAAAAAATATGGTCACGGAAGACTTGATAGACTTACAGTGTTCTGTAGGGGTTCATCCACTAATTGCTGTTCAAAAGAAAGATGGCTCTATTCGTGCATGCACCGACCTTCGAGCGGTTAATCGACATATAATTGTGGACGAATTCCCTCTGCCTTCTCTCAACGAGTTAATTGTTAGGCTTTCAAACGCCAAACTTTTCTCAAAGCTGGATATTTACAGTGCATACTAGCCTATGCCGCTGACTCCAGCTTGCAGATATTTGACTTCTTTACTCAAGCAAGAGGTGTTGTATCAATACAAAGTGCTATTAATGGGTCTTAGTAGTGCCCTAACAGCTTAGCAGCAATTGGTTTCTCTATCGACATCAGATCTCAAATGATGTGTAGTGCATATGGATATTTGTGTCTTGGGTAGTAACTCCACCGAACATCAGGAAAACCTTCATAACGTGCTACATAGACTGAATGAACTAAATCTCCACCTGAATACCAGCAGATGCCAATTAGCTGTAACGGAGGTCGAGTTTATTGGGCATGTTATTTCTACCTCAGGTATTAGGCCTAATGTGCTTAACACCAGAGCCTTTCTCGATTGTTCAAAACCATGCAATAAACAATGAACGATGATTTATCGGGGATAAAAACAAGTGCTTGATACGTCCCGTAGGATGGTTGGGGTGAATACGATGAAATCAAAATATAGCTGGGTCATCTACCAAACGTATGCCGAGATGAATACTTTGATAAATAACCTCAGTTTAAAGTTAAAGAAACCGAGCATAGACGTTCAGAACTATACTGAAGTGCAGTGACCGTTGATATAAGGCGTGAGAAAATTAAATTATTGTCGCTCACTCGGGTCCATTTGACACATAAATCCTGTAGAGAAGCATGCTTGGCGTAATCCATCATAAAGGAGTTTGTGTTCTGAGTACCTTCGACATTTACCGAATCTTGCGACTGTATCCGAGCGGTTGCGGAGGTTGATGCGCCAAAACCAGGAGTTTCGTTGGGCCACTGAACAAGACAATGCTTACACGACCATACGAGCGATAACTGAATCCATTCGCACGGTAGCGATTTTCGATGAGCACCGCACAACGTTTGTTTCAAAGGATGCTTCTAATGTTGGCTTGGGTGCAGTTCTGTCCCAGCTGCATGATAGCGACGGAGGTGGTGTTGCCGTTGCTGCTCTGGTCTGCTGCTTTTTCGGGATACAACAGCATTTTAACCCGTCGTAATAAAAATTTGATCCGACAATTACGGTAGTAATAAACTGATTGCACAAGCTTGCTGAACGACTCAGCATTGCTGCTTCTTCTCCTTCCGCTACTCAACGCTCTCCCTTCAACCTGTTGCAGGATGTGTAATTCTGGGCTTTGATCAAACATCCTAACGTTCCTGCACTGTTCACTTATTCAAGTATGGGTTCAATCGAATAAACTAACGCCTCTGAGTAAATAAAGACAAAGATGGATGCACGGTCCATCCGAAATATAGGCGTATTTCTGAACATCACCTGTAGCAAGAGTTGATCGGAATCACTAAAGAGGGATTTCCGAATGCATCGCAAGTATTTTAGGGTCTGTCAGCTACCGGATAAGAATTGTGACTACGGCGTCTTCCCAGCTCGATTCATGAGGAAAAGTATAGCAGTCTAATACAGCTACATAACTGTAGTCGTACAGGATGTGGGAGCTAGGTATCGTCGATATCCTATAGAACTTAAACCATGGATTTTATTGTCCGACGTAAGAACTTATAGTTGAATGGACATAAAGTGGCGTTGGTAGTCGGTAGGTAAATGTTACCGGCCGAATTACTCTTCGCTACTTTGTGTGCAGGCCATTTCTAGTTACTTTCAACCAGCAACCATAAGAACTTGCAGATCACTCTATCACAGATACCCACACAAAGTAGACCCACCCCATCGGCGGATAGGGTTCATTGCGTGTCTTCGGACATCAACTACCTGCAGCATGCTATCAGTGCTTTATAAATGGTCACAAAATCTAAATTTACTTCCTCTACAGACGCATCATCTCTTTTACGGCATATTCTAATCAGTTCCTACATTTGTAAATCACACGACTAAATTCGTGAACGTTTGACAATGCTAAGCATTAACTTATAACTGAAGCATGGCTATGAAGTCATTTCATGAGGTAATGTACCTTAAGTAATTGAATTCTCTGTGGCAACTAAACTCATACCACTGACTGTGCCTATTCGCATTATTGACCATAGCGAAGTTTATTAATAAACTGCACCCATCATTTTTCATTTTATTCAAGGCTCAGTCGAGCGTCCATTCCGGTGGATAGCAAAAACAAGACCCAACAAACGGAGAAGGAACCCGCTTATCGCATTGTCGCCCCCGAAATTGAGAACCAGACATTCGTCAAACAGGCATCATCGAACTTCGCACGCATTGCAGAGTGGGTGAAATCGGTTTCCATGGAAAACTGTGAAAACACACTTGTCGCGCAAAGACGTATCACACCTGCACACACCGGAACGCTGCCTCAGCTTTATTCGGCCTTCCCAATGAACCCACATGTGCAAGACATTTGCAATATGCTGCTAGCAAAAGGAGACGTTCCTGTCCCTTATGACATCGGTTACGACGAATGTAGACCTCGGCACATGACACCACAAGTGCACTATGTCGCCTCTCCCTGGAGCACGGATTTTACTAACAGTGGTGTCCCAGCCCAAAATATCTGTGCCGGTGAATGTTGTTTAGTCTTAGAAGAATGTGAATCACGTCGAGGCCAATCAGTACCTCCCCCACATGCAAGAAACTTGGGTCAATCATATACGCAGAATTACATGCTCACCGAAGTGCCTCAGTCTAGGGTAGTAATGCAGAATTTGCCTGTAGTCATGAAGACAAACGCATTAAGTGAGGAATTTGAGACTTTCCCTAATTTATCTTCTGTTCGTTGCCCTGATGGTTCGTCCAATCCACATTTAGCTACGGAACATGAAATGCTCACGATACAGCGATTGAATGATCAACGGATCCCTTGCAAATACCTCCACAGTGTCAACAACTTCTTAACTGATTGGAAACCGGAACAATGCGACAATTTCCGAAACACTTCACCATCGACCAGCAGGTCTACTAAAGTCCCAACTCAGAGACAAAAGCATGGACCCTTCCTGTGCGCCGGTATACCTTACTGGCATCGAAAACATTTCCTTCCGGACATTGCCAAGGAAATGACGTGGAGTCCAAATGGTTGCCCATCACCGGAGCATTCCGGAGTACTTCCTCGTCCAAGGGCGCATAGCTTTAGCTCATCCGCAGATGGCTTTCTTCCTTGTTACTCATGTGATATGCACCGACGTAATGGTTCAAGAGCTTGTGTTCCGACAAAACCGTTAAATGGGGGCTGTACAGAAAACACGGACCACTCGAGCAGAAAACCAAGAGATAGTGGGACTAAGGTTTGTAGTTTGATGTGCCAATTTTTGTTCCAACAAGCTTTTGGATTAGCTACGAATATTCCTTTTGGCGGAAACTCTAAGCTAGTCCACAGACACTACACTCTAGTGGCCACTTTTCTGAATATTTGCAAAGAACTTTCTGGTATGCCTATTTAGGCAGTGATCAGGTCGATCAGCACATAAACAGCGTAGAGCTCTGTGACGCAACCAATTACTGCATATTAGATGCCACACGGTCATCTTGCCCAACGGTGTCTTGCCGACATGTGTAGACGCCCTTGGAATCCGAATTCGTTAACAGCGTAACATCCCATCTTCCTTGCGTTCCTATGGGAAGCCACAGCAGAACCTTAACGATGTCATAGAACGTTCTTTCATGAATCCAAGTTCTCAAAACTGAGTTATTCCTGATTAATCGGCATCACATGTTAGGTTAAAGTAGCAAATCGAAATCAGCTGCAATCTGACATCAAGCATCTGTTCATTGTTACCGAAGAAATCTAAAACTCTATTCAGTTCCTTGTAGAACTAATACAACACCCTCATTCACAGATTTCCGTTTAGTCCTACTCTGGCAATTATATTGCTCCAGGAAGCTGGCAACAACGTTTGACAACGTGGTCATTGTTTCCTCTTGTGCAATTCTGATGACGTATCTACCTGGAAGTTTGCCGGCTATCTCGGCTGTTCTAAGGTGCTCATCTACGCAACAATAAAGCCTAATATTAAATGCGTATATATCACACAAGTTAAGTGCAGTGCTTGGTTAGCTACACTGTCGGCATACAAACCTATTTCTTATGATAGTGCTTAGTTTGATACGCACTAGCGGCCTTTTTGGGGGTTGTCAAACTGAGTAACTCACCTTTATGAATGATTACTAAAGAGTATACCATTGCATTCATTTTTGAATGTTAGGTAGATGAGTATACATGACTAACATTGCACGTTACTAGGATTGGGGTTAGATAAATTGCGCTCGAGCACTTTATCTTTACTATGTCCGAATCGGGCAACATCTGTTTCTTGCTGTCTGATTCCCTCTTCCTACTTAGCCAAAATTCAGCTTATCTTCCACCACATTTCATGAACCAAGAAATACTGTGCTTCATCAGTTTACACTGAAGGTGATGAAAGTCCCATCTGCACTATCGCTCCGTATCTACCTGTTGTTTGTGGGACGAATTTGAATCCTGGTGTAATCGTAGTTGTGAACACAAGTGTAGACAAGGTTAATGTTTGTCTGATGCAAAGTTGCTCGATTGATTTCTGCCGTACATTTTTCACCAAGCAAGATGAAGTTGCTTTAGTTTCTTCCTTAGTATTTGTATACACTGACTTCAGATATATATGCCGACGCGGATTACAACCTGTAATCCGCTTGGCCCAGGTACCTAGGGATTAACACATTTCGGATTCATTCGGCCCAAAGTGAGTTGGTTTCGCTAAACCCACACTTGCAACCATGATTCGCGTGTACAGCATGAGCGCATGGTGTCTGCTCTAACATCCATTTGGGGTAGGATCCTGGGGTGGAGCCAAGACAAAAATGATATCTAACCAACTTTTGAAGATTAGATGCTCTCTGCCAAGCACTCTGTCATTTTCGTTGGGAATGGAGTACCACGGATTTCGACATAATCGAAAATGGGTCGCATGTACAATCCCAATGATGGGAATAACAGTGAACTACTTCAAGATAAACCGTAACTATTGCTCAGACTACGTGTCACTATCCAGACACACGGTACATACTAAAAGTCTCAGCAATAAACTCACAACCGCTGTATCAAGCGTTGCACGCGGGGAAAAAAGCCTAATAATCATGATGTATGCTGTCAGCCATTATGGGCCGAGATGCAAGCTTCATCAAGGATAGCTGTAGCTGAATAACCTAAAACAGGACGAAGCCACTTGTAGGAAGACTACGGGAAACGACAATACCAAAACACCAGTTTGATTACTCTTTCTTATTGCTCGGTTTGACTTCCGAGTATCCATCGAGCATTTTCGCTACCACTTACACGGTGGTCCCTTAAAAGGTAAACTGTTGGTCACTAAAAGATATGTTAGTTGTACTGTCATCACCCAACCACAGCAAACAACAACAACAACTTCCTAAAATGAATTCTCAGTTTTCGTTCCACAGATTGTCTTTCCATAAATATATGCAGTGAGGCACACGCGTCTCTGTTATCCATAACCAACTGAATAAGCTGTCCCTAATGTATGCGGTTATAACTCCCATTTAACTTGGCTTATTCTGTTGCATCACCTCGACGCGAGTTAAAGGCTCTGATGGTTTGGTGCCTCCGCCAGCCCCATGTGTGTTTCTGGTGCTTCAGCTAACGGCAATTGTGTAGCCGTTCATCCCGATGGCCAAGTACTGATAATACACATATTCTAATTCAATACACCTCACATGATTCTACACTAATCCATTAAACGGTCATTCACATGCCTATTCTGGTGAAAGTTGTATTTTGCAAACACAACGTTAGGGTTAATGACTCCCATTTTCAGAGAATTAACAGAGTAATTCAAACACCTATACTTAAGAGCCTTGGTAACCAGTCACTCGGATAGACACATACATTTAAATGGTATTTATCGCCTGACTTGTCATCACAAGCCCCTATTATTGTACATGACTTCGATAAACAGAGTGGCTAGAAATCGTGAAAATAAGTAGCAAGGCGTTGCAAGCCTCCGGGTTTGAATACATGCGGAAAACTTGTTTTTAATGCCATAGAGGAACTGGTATTTCCATTCATTCGACCAAGTTACAGGAACATCCTGTTGAATATTCTTACCTTTGAATCATTTTGATTGAGAACCAATCTGCTAGTGTATATACGGCTCCCATTAATGACCAGTTTGCTATACATTACACAGAAACCTGCCTTCAAGAGCTTGTGGCTATCGACATAAGGACAGCAGACCCTTATGCAAAGTGGATAAGCTACTTAGAATCACCGGCGACATTTTCTTATTGAATATCACTTGTGGACAGCCGATTTAGAGAGTTCACTGGTGTGTTCATCTACCATCAGAAAGAGTAATAGTCAATTCATTTATTTCACTAATCAATGGGCACAATACGGGCCTTGAATGATTGGGTACACATTGTTTCGGAGTGCTTCGAGAAGACGTTCTTTTTTCTCGGACACAGTAACTTAGCCGAATTTTGGTCCCTACTAAATGTGACTACATCAACCATCCACAGATGTTGTCTACTCATCCCGCCCACCTCCATGACACAAGTATAGTGACGAGTAGTGGAATACAACTGTGACTAAGGAAAACTATTGCGCTCGTGTGTGTAAGAAGCCGCAATGTAATTCAGCAGTGAAGAAAGTGCAAATGCAGGGTGGGGACCAAGGTAGCTTGCAAAGGGGTTTAGATATGGAACAAAATGCGAGTGTTTCTCCTCCCAAAGACAATATACGAGTGTAACCACTCCGAAATTTGATCTTTGTACGTACGAATTAATTTCTCTTCTGTTTAGCACTTTTTGCGATCAATCAGACTAAGTTTGCACAAGTCACATGCTCTCGCTAGAACTTTAATAACCTACAGAGCTGCTGCTAACTACACGTAACTTCTGTCTACTCACAGAGTAGAAGATAAATTCCAAATAAAGTTTTCTTCAGTAAGCCTGCACAACTTTGAACACTTTGACTGATTTATTTTGCGGTACAAACAGCTATTCCAGACATGGTGTGTAACTGACGTTGATTTACAAAAAGCGGTAGTATCGATTACCACATCAAACAAGCCGCCGTCATAGCGACCTTATAGTTTGCATCAGCGTCATCAGCTGATAAAATCCCCTACAAATCTGCCCAATTGCAATAAGCTACAGGGGGTGCTTGTTTTCTTCTTGGTACCGGTTTGTAAAAACTCGAAATACTACGCTTGAATTATTTGTCTTGCGCTAAACTACTACTCGGGAATAGAACTGTGCTCTTATCGTACCATACTGTAAAAGGGCCCGAGATTGCTAAGCATCACGGCCTTACCCATTTCCCATTACGTCTTATCGCATGATGTAGTACGTTCCACACATTATCTCAAATACTGCCATCACCCATTACAATATCATACGCCAGCGTTTGTAGTTTAGGCGGCACGGATTAGAATTTCAAAGGAGTAAATGGAAATGCACTTCGTTTACAGACGAAAATGTATTCGGTTAACGGGTCCCATAGGTTAATCAGGGAGCGAAAGTGAAAAGCAAAACTTCTACCGGAAGAACATCAACGCAACAGGGTGATGATATATTTGAAGCAAAAGTACGAACACGTGATAGTACATGCACGATAATGCAACAAATAAATGTAGCCGGCGCCTCGTGTAAAGAATTTTTAACTTGCTTACCCATGTACACCGATGTTTGTGCATCAAAGTAAACCAATGATTTCAAAGGAGTTAGTTCAAGGGAATACATTCCATAGCATTCGTTTGTGCGATAAAGTGTACGGGACTGAATGCAATATACGGTCGTCTTTATGAATATGGCTAAGTGGGGCACAAACAATTGACGTTGTAAGGGCTTCAATTGTTAGCAAACCCTGAACCCTGAACGACTGTATTGATGTAATAATTTTAAGCTCTTGTCTGTCCGGTTGTTCTTCGTACGGAGTTATACTTGGTGGCGGCGTATGTGCATGGGACTGCATGAGACTGCGCAGTATCTGGTGTACCATTACGAGATCTCCACGGTAGCTTCCACTGAACACTCCGAGTCTCTACAATCATTCTTGATACAGAAAGTGGCGCATCGCGTTGGCATTTTCATTACCTAAAGCTGTGGGGTGTCCAGCGTTAAAACAGCACGCGATAGTCAAGGTTTCCAAGCCCGTATTTTTACGTGGAGATGAACATAAGCGTTGAGCAGCAGGGAAAAAATAGATGAATACGAACTCCGTAAGGGACCAACAAGTTGGTTACCAATTTTTGAAGCGAACTCGGACTGTTTTGTACTACCGATATCGTCC